CTAATTTTTCTTTAAAAGGTATTGAAACCATTATCATCATCATCATCATTAGTGTTGTTACAGTCACTATAAATTAGCTCATGACCCACCCCCACCTCCCACTCACTGGTGGGTTCATCTTTAATGGTCAACTAGTTGATATAATTAGCTTAAAACAAAGATATTTATTAAAATGACATAGCATGAACAGGAGTAATAGAATTTTCCTCCCTTAAACCTAGGGTGTGTTCTTCTACAAATACACAGGTTTAGTGGGAAGAACCAGAACACATGTAGAGTACACTAGGAGAGACACGTAGGGAACACAAGAAGCTCACACCTTGGGTGCTGCAGAGCCCCAGTGTCTTTTCTCAATGGGGTCCTCGAATTGCTCCCCTTGGCCTCAGTGTGTCTGCTGGGCAGATCACTCCACTGGGCTCCTTGCATTGCAGCTCAACTCAACTCTGGGCCTACTCTCCTGTCTCCTGCTGAGAGAGTTGTTCTGCTGTGAGATGTCATTGTCTGTGGGACAGGAGGAGAGAGAAATCCCCCTTCTCACCCTTTGCCTGCTAGACTGTGGAAAAGATATAAAGGAAAAGGCCAAGAGTGATTCCCACTCAAGTGTTGAGTTTTTCTTTTGTAGCTGGCTCAGTTCTTGACTACTACAAGTGATTCTCTTCCTTTCTCAACTGTCAAGACAGCTTTCTCTTTAAAGGCCACAAAGGTAGAGCTGATCCTTCAGCCAGCCAATGACTAGCCTTCTTCTAAGTTTATCATGCTGATTAAGGGATTTCTTTGCCACCTACTTTACATTAAAATGTAACCAAAATATCCCTTATTCCCACATCCCTGAGCTGTGAAAGTCCTTATTGTTGCATCACATATTAAACTCCATAATAATTACAGCTCCGTGAGAGAGCGATTCTATATTGTTGCATTCTCATTTTCATTATCATAGTAAATCATTAAGCTAAGGGAACTGGAATGGTCTACAAAGCATCACATCTTATTATTATTGCAACATAATATTACTTCTCTGAAGTGGCCTCTTTTTAATCTCCATTTTTTTTAGGTTTAAGCTCTCTCTCTAACCTTACAGAAAGGTAGATGCCCTGGGTTAATGTAATTATCTCTTACTCTTTAGATTGAGCAGCTAAGACATAATACCAGTATTTGATGAGCACAGTTGCTGCAGTCAGTACCTCCTGCAGGGACGTGTAGCTTTCTGTGTGGTTTGTCATCCTTGCAAGCTAGTACGCACTTTGGACTATACTGCCATTAAGTCAGAGCCTTCAATGATTTCTGCTAAGCAAAATAAAAAAGACCCAGTTTAATAGAGGCCCTGTGGGATAGGAGGGTGGGAGAGAGGAGAGAGACTTCAGAAATGAAAGGTCAATAATTATTCAAGTTTACATGAAACAGCTGGAATGGCTTTAGGTTATAGTCCTAGTTCATACAAGCTAATTTTTAACAATTGTAAAAATATCCTATATGGTTTGGTAAGATTGTAACAAGAACTCAAAATTGTGAATTACTTAAAATATGATCTTATCTTAAATCTTGAACTCATGCTAAATCATATAAAGGTTTAAAATCTGTTTTATATCCCTTATTAAAAAGATGTTTGGAGTTTAGCTATATTTAGCAACTAGCACAATGCCTTGCACAAGGAGACAATTAATAAATATTTGTTTAGCTCCTGTTGGATTCACTAAGGAAGCCATCATTATATGCTGTTTGGTTTATTTCAAATCCTGCCCAGGGCCTCAGATGCCCTTCACTTCCAGCTCTGATGCCTTAGACTCTGAGGAAGCAATTTCATAGAATCTCTCAGAGCCAGAGATGACCATAGAGATCATGGAGGCTAACCTCCTGACTACTTCTTCTCCAGAGAGTAGCAGGGGAAGGGGCTGAGAACCTGAGAACAGAAAGCACACCATAGGGTGAAGGTATTGACCAGGGTCCAAAGTTTTATTGATTGTAGACATCTGGAGTATTGTAAAACATGCATTATCTGTAGATTCTAAAAGGAGCAAGCTACATCCTCATAGGGACTTAATAAATAAGAGTGAGTGTCTTCAGAGGACTCCTCCCTTTGCTATTCACTGTAGTAAACTGACCATAGTTGATATGAAGAGCTAAAAGAGCCCTTCTAGGTCATCTAATTCAGAATATTTGTTTAATTTACAAATGAGAAAATTGAGGCTATGACTTGCCCAAGATCATATGAGTAGCTGGGATTCAAATGTTAGTCTTCTGTTGCCATTGCTAGTTGGGTCTAGTTTTTTTTTTCTTCCTAACCTTAGGACTCTTTGAATTTACTTAAACATGGTTCTCTTCATAATCTCTCTCTCTTTCTGGCATTTGGCATCTCTGTTTGAGTTTCTTGAACATCCTGTACAGAGAGCGTCTCAACCCAGACCCAGGAGCTAAAAAAGACAGTGCGCCAATGAGCCAGAAAACAGTGGTCCTGGACTGGAACAGATCTGGATTCAGGTTACAGGATCATTGGTGTAGATCTGGGAGGTACATTAGATATCATCTAATGGGCTAAGAAAAATTAAGTGACTTGTGCACGTCTTATAGATAGTAGAAGGCAGAACCAAGATTCTAACACATACCCTCAGGCTCTGAAGTCTTCTCTTTTGTCTCTGTATCTTAAAGGCATTCCACAGCTGAAGGATCCTTGCAGAACTTATTTTCAAGATGTTGGAAGTTGATCTTTGTAATTTGTGGTTATCTGTGTTTGCAGATTTCTTGTCGCTCTGCATTATAGAAAATAAAATAGGTTTACTAATCAGAGCTGGCCCCAGAGCATTTCAAATTACTTGCTTACTTCAAAGGATATGAGAAAAGAAAGGAGATTGGAGGGGGCAATGTATATGTGTTTGTGTATGTACATATACATACACATACAAAACACACACCCCATCTCCTTTTGTGTGTGTAATATGTATGTATGTCTATATGCCTATGTTGTGTATATGTATGCACCTACCCATCCTGAGGTCAAATATAGCAGTTACTTTATACCTTTCTAATGCACTGATCACATAGTGTTGCCTGTTTCTCCTAGTGCTCAGTGCTTTACTGTATTGTATGTATATGTGTTGAATGAATGAATGGGTGGATCAATGGATGAGTAGACTGATATCTAGAAATACCTCTGAGACTCTTGGGCTATCATACCTTCTTCTCATATTTTTTAAACCATTCTTCACATCTTTAAATTCTTTTTCTGGTTCTGCTGTGTTGCCAGGTCAGCATTTTCTTCTATATTATAAGTTCTGCATCATTCATCTTCACAACTTGGTCCTTAAGTTGAAGTTTCCCCTCCCATTTTGCACCTTAGATCTGAGTATTTTTATGTAAATGATGCTTTTTATCCTTGAGAGAAGGGTATCTCATATTGGTCACTTCACAAACTTTCTAAATATCAACGGCTATATGAATTTATATCACTTTTATTTTATCATAACAATTTGGATCTTCGCTCAAGTACAATGACTTAGGTCCAAGTATAATGTAAACATACCTTTAGTAAAAAGCTTGTAGGGTCATAGGATTATAGATTTAGAGCTCGAAGGGACTTGCCTAGTTCTACTTCCTCATTTTACAGATGGTGATTACTTGACTAGTTCTCTGCTAGGACTTTCCTAGGTGCTGTGCCTAGGGATATTGACACTAGTGATACCTTATCATCTGGCTAGAGGTTGGAGTCTCCTGGATAGGTGCAGATTCCATTGCTGAAACTCTCTGACCCTTTTTTATGAGTCTTTGTAAAATATATTACACACTTCACAGCCCGAGTAAATAATTTATTGAGTAAATACAAGCTTTTGTTGGTTGAATATAGGTTATCACCATGATCATTAGTTAATACATTGTGGTGTCAAATTACTTGCAGAGATAGTAGTAGTAAATGTGAATTGACCATGGAGGGGGTACTCTAGAACCTTCTCTTTAAAAATGTCTCAGATGTCTACTTGGTTTGGGGCCTTTGCCTCATCCCCCTAAAACTTGAGTGAAGGTTATGAAGCTGTATGGCTTCCTTTGTACAAAAATAGTTATTGAATCAAAGGTTATCAGAGTCAAGGGATCAGAAATCTAGCACTAGCAAAAATCTCCACTGGTTTTCTTCCTACAATGATTCCTTTACTCTCACCATCAACATCCTTTGACTTGTCACCTGCATGTTAAACAGCTGTGATTTTGGCGTCATTAACAGCAGCCTGGATCAACTTCTACCCACTCTCCTAATTCACTTGAAAGCTGCCTAAATCACTGCTCAAAAAACCTTGATTAAATTTTATTCAGCTGTAACTGGATACCAACCCTTTACAAAAACAGCTCTATAATTTAGTCATTGTGGGAACTGAGGCCATTGCTAGATCTGCTCCAAGAAGTGGCCCTGGATACAAGTGACAGTGCTCCCAGCTTCAGCTGGAGAAGCAGATCGGCAGAAAAGAGGGGCAATCTTTTTTTCTAAAAAGATTTCAGCTAGCTGTAAATTACATTTTTTCTCTGAAAGAAAACTGGTCACCATAACTTTTCTCAAATATGGTATGAAGGAAACATGTTCCAAGAATAGAAAATTTAGAAAAACAAACCAGGTCTTTGATTACCTTGGAATAGGTGAAGGATTCTCAATGTGAACCCTGACTTCTTAGATATGAGCAAGCCAGAGAGACTTTGATAGCAAGAGTTTAAGGCTTCACAGTCATTCACAAGCCCTGAAAATTTTGATTCCATGTTGAGCAAAGCAGGGTTGGTTCCTATACATTAGTCCTGTTCTGATGCCTCCTCACGTCACAGAACAGAGGTGATCCTTTTGTGAAGATTTGTGGAGATGATTAGCAGAGCAGAAGCTCCAACAGATTCACCCGTGCTGCAGAGACTTGGGTACAGCCCCGAGATGAATCATGGGTTGGTTACCTGAGGAGCATCCTAGCAATGCTTGAAAGGCTTGTCACCAGAAGGCTGGCCACCAGCTGCTGATTTATTTTTTTTTGCCACAGCAGTTAATGAAGACTATCTGCAGAGGCATGGATGGGTTGTAATCTACATCTGGGGAGTACCCACACCAATGAAATTATGATTCTTTTGAAGTGTTGAAAGAAGGGTGAGTTATGATTACATATTATTTCTGAAATTAGGTTAGAATCATTACTCCTATTTAAAGATATTAGGGGAAAGGTACTAAATTGTACTGAGAGACTTAAGTCTTTAAAACTCTCATTGTAGGGGCAGCTAGGTGGAGCAGTGGATAGAGCACTGGCCCTGGAGTCAGGAGGTCTTGAGTTCAAATGTGGCCTCAGACACATAACACTCATTAGCTATGTGACTCTGGGCAGGTCACTTAACCCTAACTGCCTCACCAAAAAAACAAAAAACCCAAAACTCTCAGTGTATTATCTTTATATATATGTATATTTGACTGACCCTTGGTGACACAGCTAATATTTGTCAAAGTCTAAAACTAAGTGTTTCTGACTCCAAGGCCAGCCCTTTATCCACTGCTCCCCAACACACTGTAATAAGGTTAAATGAGGGTTTATTTAATGTTCTTTTATTGAATTTAATTTTATAAGTATGGGGGGGTGAAATTCAGTTGAAGAATTGAAGGGGAATATTCAAGGTTGTACATACAGGATCTTGAACTCAGAGTCCTACGTGATCTTTAGTAAGGACATATGTACAGGAGGAGGCATCACCCATCATGCACTAGAACATTGCCTAGGCATAGAAGAGCAGGCTCCTAAGCACTGAAACAGCATAGATATGCCATGACAGCACTTCCATGACGTGTGAAGTGAAAGGGGGAATAACCCTTCCCATCCAAAGAACTGGTGCTGGCGTATTTGGAGAGGGCTTTGCTCCTAAAGCTGCAAAATCTTCCTTATCAAAGGATGGTAACCGCCGCTCCCTACAGACATCACATGGCGACATCAAAAATCACGGCTTCTTGATGCACAGCTGTTTAAGAAATTCCCAGCATCATCGGTCATTTTTTTTAAAGGAATGTTTTGAGATTGAAAATATTGTATAATATTTACATCTGAAATAATGTGCTAATACCTTTCCATGTAATAGAATTCACATTCTGAATAATCCTTTCTTGTATAGAATGAATAAAGGAGATATCATTGACATGACATTAACATGAAGATGGCAAAAATGTCACCAAGCACTAACCTAGCTTCCTCACAGTGAGCTTTAAAATATTCTATTTGCAGAGAAGGTTTGAGTGTCTTAGTTAAGGCTTTAAACTTTCCCCACAAGTACAAAACTCTAACATGCCTAACTTTTTTTTTTAAAAAAAGGGTTTTTTTTCCTTCTTTTTCTACCTATCAGGGGCTACTGAGATATATAATGCTTAGCATATCCCTATAACAGATTTCCCCAGATCCCTGTGTGTTTACTAGTTGAAGGTTCTCTTTCCTCCATCTTAGCCGTCTCTTTTCTCTGGTGTCACTTCCTAACTCTTGTCATATCTGTTCCTTACCTCCCCTTTAACTGCTTCTGTTCACTACTTCTGAGTTGATGTTTCTTTCCCCAACCATGATAATCTCTTTATTCTTTTCTTTTGTTTCTTCATCCTCTCTTTTTCTGCCACTTTTTTCTATGGATTTTTTTTCAATATCAATGACAGCAATTTTTCTCTGAAGAGCATCATTAAACAGTAAGAATATTCCTTTGCTTTCTGTCAGTGAACCAACTAGCCATATTGAATCTGCAGCTCTTCTTAGCTAATTTTATTGGTTTGAGACAAGGTTTTTTTTTTTCCTAGTAACATTCAAATATGGCCCCTTCTAATGTAAGATATATCTATAACCATTTTCCTGGTCTGTAAAACAACGGGACTGAACCATATGCTCGTAGGTCCTAGGCAGCTCTGAATTATATAGCTCTGTGTATTTTCTTTATAAAGACCATACACACTCCAGACTTTAATGCAGTGGTGATCTATTGTTGTAGTTATTCCTTCCAGTGATAGAGATCTCAGCCCATTCGTACCTGTCCATCTCTTGTTTGTTATCTCCTCCCAGAAATTCTCCACAGGATCTCCATCCAACCCAATGTGGGAGTCTTCCTAAAATTCTGTTTGCATTGTGAAGATCTGAAAAGAAGTCAGGCTGTCCTTTGCTCTTAACTGCATGACCAGACCACCATATTATTTTTTCATCATTTCTGGTAACATCACTTATACTCTTTCCCCATATAGCTGCCCTCCAAAATATATTTCCTAGTTTCGTATGTAACTTATGTTGATTTGCCCAGATCAAGGCCTAATCTAAGGTAATTTTAACTATAGAAAATTAGAAAAATTTTTACTTACCTTGATGTTTTCATGTCTTGATTTTTCATACCTCTACACTCTCTTGTGCATTTACTACTGTTGATCCATAGTGAGAGTTTCTTAAAGGAGTCTGTGGATAGATTTCAAGGGGTCAGTCAGTCAATAAGCATTTTTTAAGTACTTACTATGTGCCAGGCACTTTGATAGGTGCTGAGGACACAAAGAAAATTTTTTAAAAATCACTGTTCTCTTGGGGCAGCTAGGTGGCTCAGTGGATAGAGCACTGGCCTTGGAATCAGGAGGACCTGAGTTCAAATCTGGCCTCACACACATAACACTTACTAGCTGTGTGACTCTGGGCAAGTCACTTAACCCCAATTGCCTTGCCAAAAAAAAAATCACTGTTCTCAGGTATCTCACAATCTAATGGGGGAGACACGCAAAAAAAAATGTAAAAATAACATACACATAGATACATATATATGATAAATAGGAAATAGTCAATATAGGGAAAGCATTAGAATTATGAGAGATTGGGGAAAAGAATGTGGAATTTTATCTAGGATTTGAAACCAGGGAAGCCAAGGAGGAGAAGATGAGGAGGAGAGAGCATTCCAGGCATGGAGAATAGCCAATAAAAATACCTGAAGTCAGGGAAGCCAGGAAGCCATTGTTCCTGGCTCAAAGAGTATGTGGAAGGCAAAAGATTGAAAAAGGTAGGGAAAGATTGGATTATGGAGTACTTTGAACAAGAGAGAATTTTGTATTTGGTCATGAAGGTGATAGGGAGTCACTGGAGTTTATTGGGTACAGACTGACATATTTGTATCTATGCTTTAGGAAAATCACTTTGGTGAATGGAGGATGGGCTGGAGTAGAGAGAGACTTATAGCGGGCAGACACCTAGTAGGCTATTGCATTAGTCCAGACATGACATTATGAGGGCCTATATCAGGATATCAGAGGAAAGAAGGAGGAGGCATGTTCAAGAGATACCACAAAAATGAAATTAACAGGCCTTGGAAACAAATTGGATATAGGGAGGAGAGACAATGAGGACTCAAGGACAATGCTTAGGTGGTGAACCCAGGGTACTGAGAGACTAGTGGTAGCCTCTACAGTAATAGGGAAATTTGGAAGGGAGGAGAATTTAGGGGGAAAGATAATAGTTCAGTTTTGGGCATGTCTACAGGACATCTAGTTTGAGGTGTCTAATAGACAATTGAAGATGGGAGACTAGAGATTAGGGCTAGATAAGTTGAATCATCAGCAAAGAGAATGGTAATGCTAATGCTAATTCTTTATGCTCATGAGCATAAAGATGACAATTAAATTCATGGAGCTGATGAGATCACCAAGTGAAGTAGTGTAGAGGGAGAAGAGAAGAGGGCCCAGGATAAATTAGTGAACATGATCTGGATGAAGATCCAACAAAAGAGACCAAGAAGGAGCCAGTCAGATAGGTAGGAGAACCAGGTAAGAGGAAGTGTCACAGAAGAGAAGAGAGAGTAGCAAGGAGAAAGGGGTAATTAAGTGTCAGTGGCTGCAGAGAGGTCAAGATGGATGAAGGTTGAGAAAAAGCCATTGGATCTGGAAATTAAGAGATAATTGGTAATTTTGGAGAGAGCAGTTTTGGTTGAATGATGAGGTTGGAAATCAAATTATAGAGAGTTAAGAAGAGGAGAGAGGTTGGGGCTTCTACTATAGACTACCTTCTCAAGGAGTTTAACTATAAAAGGCAGAAGAGATATGGGATGATAGTTAGCAGGGATGGAAGGATCGAGTGAGGGCCTTCTTGAGGATGGGGAGACATGGACATTTTTGTCGGTAGTAGGGAAGGAGCCAGTAGAAAAGAAAAGACTGAAGATAAGTGAGATAGTGTGGATTGTAGAAAAGTCAGTTTATTGGAGGAGAAAAGAAAGAATGGGTTGATTTGTGAAGCCAGAGGGCTTTGCCTTGGCAAGAAGAAGTGCCACCTCTTTGTGCAAGAGAGTGCTGAAATCAGAGATAGTGACAAAAGGGATGACTGATGTGAAATGAGGAGGAGAGAAGAAAAGGGAGCTCTTACCAAATGGCCTCAACTTTTTCAGTAAAATATGAGGCAAGATTCTTAGCTAAGGAAGTAAGGAGAGGAGAAGCCATGGAAATTTAGAAGAGGGATGAAAGGGTCTCAAAAAGCCATTGTAGTGAGTGGAATAGTAATTCGATTAGAGATATAGAAGGATTGCCTAGCAACAGTGAGGGCCCAGTTGAGGGTATGTAACATAAATTTGTAATGCACCCATACAGAATAGTTGTATGATTTTCTCCACCTTTGTTCAGCAGCACACGTGTCAATGAAAGCAGAGATAATGGAAGGTTGATCATTGGAAGGGCACAACTGACACTATAATAAGGGGACAAAGGACTCAAGAGAAGTGAATAGTGTAGAATTGACTGGTTCACTACAGGGTCAACATGGAGAAAGTCAGAGAGTGTGGCTAGTGAATGGGGTGATGGCCTGGGAGAAGAACACTCGTGCATTCAAGAGTTTGGAGGTTTTGTTGTGGATGAAAAGCAGGGTTTAATATTAGAAAACAGGGAGAAGTAGAAAGCCAAAAGATTGTGATCAAATAAGGGAATTTAAGAGTTCATGAACATAGAGGTGGTGCATTTGTGTATCATTGCAAAACCATCTTTGTATATAATTGAAGTGGGGTGGAGGAATAAGTCAAGGAAAATGAGTAGATTGAGGAACTGAGAGGTGAGGATGTTTGAGGAAGTATCAATGTGTACACTGAAGGCCCTTGAATGAGGGCAAAAGTTGAGGAGGAGAGAGATTATGAGCCAGGTACTGAACTAATTAAGGAAGGAAAGAGAGTATCATAGAGGTCTGTAGGCAGCAGCTACCAGGATTTTGATTGGGTGGTCGATGTAGATTGCATAGACCTCAAAGGAAAACAGGTTGCTTACCTGTCTACATTCTTGGACATTTACTATCATTGATCTTTTAGTCGGGGTTCTTAAAGAAGTCTGTGGATAGATTTCAAGGGCTCCATGAATTTGTATGGGGGAAAATATACATTTATTTTCATTGACTTTAAAGTGAAATTTGGCATTTCTTTCAATTATGAATGTAAGTAACAAACCTTTTGAGAAGGGGACTATAGGCTTCATTACACTACCAAAGGGGTTCATCACACAAGAAAGAATTAACCTATTGCTCTATAGAAATATTTGTAAGCCTTGGAGAGGATGATGAGACCAAGGCAAGGTACAAGAAGGCTTTACCAAGTTGCAGTTGGTTGAACACTACTATAACCTATTGACCTGAGATATAGAAAGATTAACCTTAAGGCTTTGGAAAGTAAAAGGATATTGGTGAAGTGCATATTTATAACATTTGATAGATAGAATTTCAAATTTAGAATTAGTAATATTCCAAATTGACCCTAAGATTCTATGTTTCATTAAAATTATTTTTCACTTCACTGAAACAAGCTGAAATTCCCAAATTTCCTGGAAACATACTTAGCTGACACATTTTAAATAACTGGAAAGTATGAAACACAATTTTCTCTTTATAGATTTCCTAAAATATCTCTTGTGAGCAATTTCTTGTTGTCTTGCAGGAGGAGGTAGGACATTGGTTGCCATGGTGACTGCTTCATTTTCACCACTAGTCAATATAGCAGGGAACCCTTAGGCAATTGGCCCTCTGCTTTCTACAGTGGAGACTCAATTCAGAGTTGGGTTTTTATTATATGTTCAAGGTGACAATGCCACGGTCATTATTTAACCCAAAGTACCTTTAGGCCAAAGGAACCTTTTGTAGGACTAGAAATAAAAGGAAATTCAAAGACGGTCTGCTTTCCTATAAACTTGGATTCATAGAGAAAGAAAAAATGAACAAAACAGATAAAAATAGGGCTGAAGAACTTTTTTCTTTTATAATTTATACAAAAAATGAAATAATAATAATATATAATATAATAATAATAACCTATTACATGAAAGACAACATATATAAGCTATTCAGTTTTCACATTAATGGGACTGTTGGTTCAGATGGCTTGTTTAATACGGATTGAGACACACAAAATAGAAGCATATACTACAACCCAAGTATATGACAGATTCTCTAAATAAGCATTGATGACTAGCTGTTTGTTACCTCTCACATAAACCTAAAGAAAAATTAGACCATTATTGATATTCATGACTCTCATTCAGATACTCTAAACATCTTGACTGTCCTTATTTCCCTAGGCCATTGGTGTGATGGGTGGCTGGGATATGGAAGAGGACCTTGGTGAACCCCAGGGAACCAGAATTCCTTTCTGCCTGCGTCTACTTAGCTGACCTCTGGCCCTTATCTTATTTTTAAAGACTAGCCACCCATTCCAGCTGCCCAGAGGGAGACTTGTCCATTAACCAGGAGCTGCACCTGATAAAGAATGTGACCAAGGATTCATACAGACTTTACAATGGCCTCTTCATAAAGCACTGTGTGAGGATGAACTCAGAATCTCAAGTTCTGGAAAGGACATCAGAGGCTATTTAAGCAAATCTGTACCTGAACAGGAATACCTCCTCCAGTATTTCTAATAAGCAGTCAAACACTTTTTGCTTTAAAACCCCTAGTTAGTGGAAATGTCACTACCTCCTGAGGAAGCCCTTGCACTTTTGTATAGCTCTAATTGTTGAAATATTTTTTCTTCTTCCAAGCCCAGATCTTAATTTTCTGAAGCTTTTGCCCATTGCTTGTGGTTTTGTTTTCTGAAGCCAAATAGGATAAGTCTGTATGCCAGAGCTTCCAGAGCTTGAAGTCAGCCATCAAGCATTTCCTCCCTGTCCTCCGTTCTCCAAATATTGGGCCTAAATCTTCTTTGCTCCAGGCTAAACATCCCT